ACATCAGACAGTTTGATTGTTCTGTTCTAAACACATGGTCATTAACTCTTTGACAACTTCATAAGTCATTATGTCTAAAACTGTAAGAAAGGAGGCGGATTGTATTTTTATTTGATCTCAACTTAGCTAAATATGATGGAAATTAGAGCCGCGGGATAATATTAACACACTTTATAATTTACCAAGTAGTCTAAATAATGGTTTAGGTCATCAGTGGTATACCAAAATCCCCTGGACCATCAATGATATATACCCAAATCTTCTGGACCATCACTGGTATACCCAAATCTCCTGGACCATCAGTGGTATACCTAAATCTGAAATACAATAAATTGTATATGCCCGAATCTTCTGGACCATCAGGAATATACCCGTCTATCAAGGACCATATGGGGTATACCCAATTCTCCTGAACCATCAAGGGTACACCCAAGTCTCCTTGACCATCAGGGGTATACCCAATTCTCCCGAACCATCAAGGGTACACCCAAATCTCCTTGACCATCAGGGGTGTACCCAAATCTCCTCGATCATCAGAGGTATACCAAATCGTCTGGAAAATCAGTGGTTTACCCAAATCTACTGGATCATCAGTGATGTATCCTAATATCCTAGACCATCAGGAATATACCCAAATCTTCTGGACCATCAGGGATATACCCGTCTATCAAGGACCATATGGGGTATACCCAAATCTCCTGGGTATTCAGGGGTATACCCAATTCTCCTAAACCATCAAGGGTACACCCAAATCTCCTTGACCATCAGGGGTATACCCAATTCTCCCGAACCATCAAGGGTACACCCAAATCTCCTTGACCATCAGGGGTGTACCCAAATCTCCTCGATCATCAGGGATATACCCAAATCGTCTGGAATATCAGTGGTATACCCAAATCTACTGGATCATCAGCGATGTATCCTTATATCCTGGACCATCAGGAATATACCCAAATCTCCTGGACCACCAGGGGTATACCCACAGCTCCTTGACCATCAGTGGTGAACACAATTCTCCTGTACCATCAAGGGCACACCCAAATCTCCTTGACCATCAGGGGTGTACCCAAATCTCCTGGATCATCAGTGATGTATCCTTACGTGCAGGAGATTTTGGTATATTCCTGATGGTCCAGGATATAAGGATACATCACTGATGATCAAGTAGATTTGGGTATACCACTGATATTCCAGACGATTTGGGTATATCCCTAATAATCGAGGAGATTTGGGTACACCCCTGATGGTCAAGGAGATTTGGGTATACCCTTGATGGTTTGGGAGAATTGGGTATACCCCTGAATATCCAGGAGATTTGGGTATACCCCATATGGTCCTTGATAGACGGGTATATCCTGATGGTCCAGAAGATTTGGGTATACCACTGATTTTCCAGACGATTTGGTATATTCCTGATGATCGAGGAGATTTGGGTACACTCCTGATGGTCAAGGAGATTTGGGTGTATCCTTGATGGTTCGGGAGAATTTGGTATACCCCTGATGGTCAAGGAGACTTGGGTGTACCCTTGATGGTTCAGGAGAATTGGGTATACCCCTGATGATCCAGGAGATTTGGGTATACCCCGTATCAAAGGAAGCTATTTAACCAAGAGTTCCAAATGGTCAAGTTGAAGTCATCCCTTCGTAAATTTTACGGACGCCATCACGAGTTGGTTGACCGTTATGGAATAACCGTTTCACCGATAATATCGGATATGTTCCTTATGACGTAACTACAATACCCTCCCTTTTCACGAATGTGACTTACCGACTTAGACTATTTACCGGATTTGTAATAACATAAGCAACACGACGGGTGCCACATGTGGAGCAGGATTTGCTTACCCTTCCGGAGCACCTGAGATCACCCCAAGTTTTTGGTGGGGTTCGTGTTGCTTAGTCTTTGGTTTTCTATGTTGTGTCATCTGTACTATTATTTGTCTGTTTGTCTTTTTATTTTTGGCCATGGCGTTGTCAGTTTGTTTTCGATCTATGAGTTTGACTGCCCCTCTGGTATCTTTCGTCCCTCTTCTGGAACATCAGGGATATTCCCAAATCAACCGGACCATCAGGAGTAAACATCGAATTTTAGGAACGAACGAATTTCTGTTCAAAACAAAAGTGAAAGATACAAATATGTGCAGTTTTAGGTGTTGAGGAGTCGAAAAAATAGAACATATATTATGGGCTTGTCCGTATATATCAAAATTATGGGAAGGCCTGGATATATATAAGTTTAGAGATAGAACTAACTTTTAATATAGATTTGGGTTTACTTAGTATTCTAACAAAAAAACGATTAAATATAATTCAAAAAGAAAACTTATACTAGTAGATTGAAAAAAAATGATATTTTATAAAATAAAAGACTCAGTAGGGCGGAGAACTTCTGGAACCCCTGGACTCTTTTATTGCCATAACAACAAAGATGACAATATATGTATATATAAATTAAAAATATGTACTATCTATGCAATATCTATGTCAAAATTATTTTAGCTTGTTAATTATTACATTCGTTAATAACGTAATTGATTATTGTCTATTAAACCGTCGTATATCTTTTGCTTATGTATAATATTATTCCTCATAAGAATTGTAGTGATATGCATAAAGTATGTATAACAATTATGTTCATGTGTAAATAAGGAAAATCAATGGTATACCCAAATCTTCTAGACCATCAGGGGTATACCCTAATCTACTAGACCATCATGGGCATACCAAAATCTTCTTGACCACCAGGGATATACCTTTACCTCCTGAACCATCAGGGATATACCCTAATCTACTGGACCATCATGGGCATACCAAAATCTCCTGGACCATCAGGGATATTGTAACGCTGCCTCTCTGACGTTAGAGTCGGCCACCAGAGATCACAGGATCACGTAAAAAGGGATCTATTAGAGGTCGAGAAAGGTGTCTTAATTAAAACCACCGATCTAAACCCGAAATAGGACGAAGGAAAAATATATAAATATATATATTTATATCAGTGTGCTAGTATAATTCGGTTTTCGTGAGGTTTATTAAAGTAAAAGATAATAATTTATAAAGTTCAACATTTTATTAACGAAATAAAATACTGGGGGAAGGCTGGACTCTCGGTTCTGTCACTGGTCAGTGGCCCCTGGTATGGTTGGTCTAACAACAATTAACACGAATGTGAATACTACTCATAACATAGCATTTCTTTACAACTAGTCCTTTATACAAAGGTAACTATCATATCCATAACTAATTTTAACCAAACAAGATAAAAAGCCTGACCTTTGCCAAACTGTTCATAAAACATACATATGCTTCTCCATAAACTATTTATGTCACTACCTCAATAACTATAGCTATATCAACAGTAACTTACACACGTGAATTCATCAACTCCAAATCTGGTGACAAAATTATTTAGTCACCGTCACCGACAGTTATAGTCACCGTCACCGACAGTTTTTAGTCACCGTCACCGTCACCGAGATTAGTCACCGTCACCGAGATTTAATCACCGGGACTTATATTAGTCACCGTCACCTTTTACTTATTAAAATAATATTATTATTTCACAATACTAACTTTTATACTCATAACATCAGACATAATTCTATTTAGTTTCTACTTCCAGTGCTCTATCTCTTTGATTTTACTATCTCAAGTAATGCGAGCTATCTCCCTTGATGCAGCCAACCACACGTATTTATATTCCAAATTGACCAATGAGAGTTGCGCTTATATAATGACATTCAATCACAATCCATCACTCTTATTAGGGATATTCCCTTAACAGTGATGCAATTGTAAACAATGCAATGTTCTTCACGAATAAATATAATTTATGTGTTTAAAATGCAACTAAAAGCTTTGAAAACATTTGTGATGGGTAAAAACAGATACAAACTACTGTATCTTGCAATCGATAGTGAACAGATAACGAACATTTTAACTAAAACACATCAAACAAGTAAGTATCACCTATATCGGTGACAAACCTTAAAAATCGGAACGAGAGTTATTTAAAGTCTCCAAATGCTCCGTGCAATTAGCAATCATAATCAAACGAAACCCAAACAGGAAAAATAATAAGATGTAAAAAATAGAACAACATGAATCACAATATTATTATTATTTACAACCGTAAATAAAAATCTATGGCCTACTTTCACTTTCCAACAGTTCGAAAATAAACGTTACATGTCTCAAAAACAATACTCCACAGGTTTAAAAGTCATCCGAGATAATAGTTTTATAAGTACAAGCATAAGCATCTCCTGACTTATCAAACACTTTTGACAACCAACTTCTGGTTATGGATCATAACAACGACGAAAAATGCATATCAAAACAACACTGAATAAATACGGGGAGCCGGCATAACATTGCCCCCTTCCTTAAGGATTTGGTCCCCAAATATATTAGCTTGGTGAGCTGATTTATAATGTTTAGGAAATACTATTTAAAAAAAAAAAAAAAACTCTACTATTCTTGGTCATTCTTCATCGAGCTCACAGTATGTCAGTACTATGTGGGTTTAACAACAAAGATATTTTTCATTCACAAGATAAATTTTACTAATTATATCAACAACAAACGTCAAAATCTATCCAAAATCAACAACAAAGTTTAGAAGTTACTCAGTTTACATGCACACAAATCATTTAGTCTCTCCTGTACTGTTGTAACAAGTCCAGACAGTTTATAGAATTTTGCCTCCTGGAGCAGCTCGTACAAATAGACATGCTCCCTAGGGAGATATCTTTTTTCCACGGTACAATTGTTCCTCAAATAGTTAAGGATTATCTTGAAGTGAGCAGGGTCTCGATCGAAGAAGTAGACGTTATTAGAAGGACGGAACGGACTTAAAGGCTGCAACATCAAGGCGAACACACAAGAAGGGTCGGCTCTAAGGGTGTTTTTACTTGTCTCTACCTTCATCCCTCCAACGTTGAGAGTAAGTGTGTTTTCCTGTGTGTCCTGTAGGGATTGTAGGAAGGTTTCAACCAATTATGTCTTAGCTGAAAACTCAACATTTCTTATTGGTTCAATTTCAGTATCAAGAGGTTTTACCACGACGTTCTCTGCCTTTTGTGACATACTAGCTGGAGTTGATTTCTTGACTGTCCCTGATGAGCTTGACGAGCTAGACGACGATCCGGATGAGGTTGTTGATGAGGATGAACTCATGTGAGATTTATCTGCTATTTCTAATGTGCTCACTTCTTTTTCTGATACATGCAGTTCGACTTCCTCTAAGATTTGACTCTTTCCTTCTGTTTTATCTGCTTCCGGTTCTAAACAAATTGTTATTGTCTCACCACTCTCACTCATTAGATCTTGAATAACATCTTTGATTTTCTTCAGCTTTTGTTCTTTTGTCTCTGAGGGCTTACTAACTTTTGCAGGAGTTGGCCCTGAGATGTTGTTATTTTCTTTGTTCTCTATATCTGTCCTTTCTCTGGATGTTTCTTTCAACGAACTTCCTCTCTTACTATTACATGTACTTTTATTGCTGGTGTCACCTATCTCGGATCTAGCATATCTGTTACGTCTAGATACAACTTCAACCTCATTCCCATTATTATCAACCAACCTTATTTTCTTCGGCATTTCATCTCTTTTAAATTTCTCCAGGTCTTCTTCGGCATCTTTTCCCCTACGTCCGGTGCTGTTTTGAAAACAGATCATTTGATTTTCATGTACCTTGCACCCATGGTTGGTATTACGTCTTTGGAACAGTTTTTTTACATTCTGGACACTTCCAGGCAAAGTCTGAGTGCCTTTCTAATATGTGTCGCTCCAGAAACCACCTCTTTTCAAATGTCATGTCTTCACATATAACACACATCCATTTACTCTATAAAAAAATAGAATAACAATCATAAGAAAGGGATAAATAATTATGGACCTATCATTATAATTATTAATATTTTTACAACTCAACACATATACAAAGAGTCGTAAAACTTAGTTAATTAGTAATACATGTCATACCTATACATGGTAGGACAGTTTTAGTATTCAATATTTTCATCATATGTCTTAAATATAAAAAAATCATTCGATCAAAGTTCAACTAAATTTGATAAGTTATCAACTATGAAAACCAGGTTGGACCATGATCTCCCAAATAAGGTTTAAGTTTATCATGGTGAACCACTTTCGGTTTCATTCTTGGACCCAGCTGAATTCTATATAAGACGTCATTCAGTCGATGGGTAACAACAAATGGACCATGCCAAGGTCTCTGAAATTTAGGATTTACACCAACCTTCCGTTGGTATTGGTAATACCAGACTGGATCACCAGGATTGAACAGCTTTAAGTGAATGTTATGGTCATAGTTTTTCTTCATAACATCACTAGCAAAATTTAAATTGGTTCTTGCAAATTCATGAACAGTCAACAATGTATTTTCAAGATCATTAACAAAGTCCGAAATAGAACTTTTAGGACCGTCCGGAGATTTACCAAACAATAAATCTACCGGTAGATTGATTTCACGTCCATACATCATTCTACAAGGTGACACACCCGTACTTTCGTGTTCAGCGGATCGATATGCCATCATTAGAATGGGCACAAATTTGTCCCAATCCTTTTGATGGTTCGATACAAACGAAGACAACATATTTTCCAGTGTTCTCATAAACCGCTCAGCCATTCCATCAGACTGGGGTCTCATAACCGTTGTTCTAGTCTTGTCAATATCTATCAATTTGCAAAGTTCTTGAAATAAATGGGACTCAAAATTAGCCCCTTGGTCCGTATGTATTTGTAAGGGAACTCCAAAGATTGATATAAAATTATCTACTAATGTTCGGGCTACAACCTCTGCCTCTTGGGATTTCAGGGGAATAGTATGAACAAACTTAGTGAAGTAATCACCAATTACTAATAAATAATTATTTCCCTGAATTGACCTAGGCAAAGGCCCCATTATGTCCATAGCAACTCTTTCTAAGGGGGCACCGGCATTGTATTGTCTCATAGGTGCTTTTGGTTTTCTATTTGGTCGCTTTCGTGAAGCACATACATCACATTTGCTACACCAATTTTCAATATACTTTCGTACCCCAAACCAAAAGAATCTTTGTCTAACTTTGCTTAAGGTTTTCTTGATACCTAAATGGCCACCAGTGACACTATTGTGTAACTGCTTGAGCACACATTCTTTCAAATTATCTGGAATTACTTTTGCCACGTGACATTATCCCCTCTTTCACTTTCCCATTTTCGACATAAAATACCGTCTCTTATCTCAAATGATTCAATTCTATTCCAGAAGTATTTGATAATTGGACTGAATTTAGATATTTCCGACCAAATGGGTTTCAAATTGTTTAGTAGCCAATCCCTAATTATCTTTAGTACGGGGTCATTTTCTTGTTCACTTTCTAAATCGAAATCTATCTCAACAAATTGTTCATCGTGCATCGGAGATGACGAGCTCGGTTTTTGTTGATCCAACTGAGGAGATTTCATGCTTCGAGTTTTAACTACTCCTATGCGTTGGTTTATAATGTTTTCATTGGTCTTAAATTTGCAAACATCAACTGATGTTTCTCTTGCAAATCTATTTTTCCCTTTCCTTTCCTCAGACCTTTTCAAATTGGGAACATTAAAAGTTTCGGAACTACTTGATTTGCCAACATCATATGATGCCTTTAAAGCAAATCCACTTTCATCCTTCACTTTATCAGATATGTTCATACTTTCCTTGTCAAGTTTTGTACAAGATTTAGAAGCGTTTAAATCGTCTGACCTATAACTAGCATATACTTGTGTTGCTTCGTTTTTCTTTCTAGTCTCTAGACGTTGACTACCTTCAACCTTAACGGCGCCTGTTAAAGTATTCGTATCATCAACTACTACTGACTTTACCACTTCTTTAGTTGAAATCTCGTTATTTATTTCAACCTCTCCTAAACCTACGTTTGAAAATTTATCCTCAACTTTAGAGCAATAAGAACAATCATCCGGACAGGGTCTACGACTCAATGCATCAGCATTCGAATGAATGCGACCAGGGCGATGTATTATTTGGAAGTCATATGCACCAAGTGTTTCCAACCAGCGGGCAAGCTGACCCTCTGGATTTTTGAAATTTACTAACCACCTAAGAGACCCGTGATCGGTACGAACTGTAAAAGATCGACCATAAAGATAGTGATGGAAATTTTTAACTGCACTGACAATAGCCAGCAGTTCTTTTCGGGTGACACAATAATTTCTTTCACTTTTCGAAAACGTTTTACTAAAATAGCCAATCACTCGTTCTTCCCCATCTTGAATTTGAGATAGAACGGCCCCCATTCCCACATTGCTAGCATCTGTATCAAGAATAAAGCCGCCATCATTAATTGGATAACCTAAGATAGGTGCAGATATTAACAACTTTTTCAGATGCTCAAATGAGCAATTACAAGCTTCTGTCCATTCAAATTTCTTACACTTCTCGGTTAATTGATGTAAAGGCTTTGCAATAGTAGAGAAATTTTCTACAAATCGACGATAATATGAACAAAGTCCGATAAAGCTACGTACATCTTTTACATTCTTGGGAGTGGGCCAATCTTGCACGGCCTTAATTTTTTCATCGTCAGTACTTATGCCTTCGTGACTAACTTTATGTCCTAAAAAGGTTACTTCTTTTTGAAGAAGGAAGCACTTCTTAGGATGTAATTTTAAATTTGCTGATCTTAGCCTGTCACAAACTTCACTTAAATTTTTGAGGTGTTCATCAAAAGTTTTGGAGAACACAATGATATCATCAAGATACACTAAGCATATTTTCCAAGTTAAACCAGAAAATATTTTCTCGACCAACTGCTCGAAAGTTGCTGGAGCACCACATAGTCCAAAACAAAGCACTTTAAATTGCCACAAGCCACTACCAGGTATTGCAAAAGCGGTTTTCTCTCGATCCTTCTCATCTAAACCACATTGCCAGTAACCACTGCGCATGTCCAGTGTGGAGAACCACTTACTGCCGCTTAAAGCGTCCAGCGTGTCCTCTATACGAGGGATCGGTTGACAATCTTTTTCAGTTATATCATTAATTTTTCTAAAATCAATACAGAATCGAATACTTTGGTCTTTCTTTTTCGTGACCATGACAACCGGTGAACACCAAGCACTACTTGAAGGTTATATGATGCCCCTTGATGCCATGTCTTGTATCTCTTTCTCTGCAACCTCTCTCTTTGCCAAAGGAAGTCTATATGGTTTAAGTTTAATGGGTTTTGCATTCCCCGTATTTATTTTATGGTTAACAATTTCAGTATGCCCAATATCAGATGGGGATTTTGAAAAAAAAACATCTTGATAAGAACATAAAAACTCTTTTAACTTCTTGACTTCAATATTATCCAAATCTTTGGAACTTTTCTCAAATACACACTTTAAATGATCAGGGATGCCTACTTCAGTCTTAATCTCTGCACAATTGACCCGACTCACAGTGCTCACTTCAAACGTTTCTATGTCAACAGGTTCAAAAGTACCAACTATTGTGTTTTTATAGACTTTGACAGGCTCTGTGCTAAAATTAGCTACCCTTAAAGGTATGATATTTGAATTTGGCTGGACCACTACTCTGGCTAATAACAAACCAGTTTTCTCAATAAAAGACTTGTTCGTCTCTACAAGACCTACTTCATTAAATATAACAGGGCCACATGGGATCCCTTTTATTAACATTTCACTATCAGGCGGAATATCAACAGTTTCCGCAATTGAAATTCGACAACATGAGCTATCACCTTTATTTGTAAAACAGGTAATAAACTCATCCTTAATTCTCAGGCAACCTTTGCTAAAAAGAACATCAATACTATTAGTCATCAAAAAGTCCATACCCAGTATGGCCATATCTTTGATTTCAGCCAACAAAAATTCGTGTTTGAAAATATGTGTCCCTAATTTTATTTCTAAGTTAACTTTCCCAATAAACTGTGAAGCTTCTCCAGTTGCTGTTAATAAATTCATTCTGACTGGCATAACTTGAGGTCTATTCTCAAGTACAAGACTATCAAAGAAATCTTTTCTCAAAATGGAGACGCTCGCCCCAGAATCAACCAACATATTTACAGACATAGAATTTATATTAGCAACTACAAAATATTCATTATCTTTCCCCCAAGAAACATTTGAAATAACCGTGTTGGGTCTTTTTATTGTGGTCGAGCCGCGACCCCCGCACTCGACGCTTGGTAGTTTTCCGAGCTGTTATAATTTTGGTTGAAATTTCTATTACCAAAATTATTTGATCCTCTTTGTTGACGTGAACCATTGTTGTTATTATGGTTATAACGTTGACCATTATTATTATTTTTCTTAATGGCCCCTACATCATTTTGTAGATTTCTTATGCCTAATTTTATTTCTTTTATTTCACTGACTATTTTACTATCATCAGCGTCACATGCATCAGCTGTTCTCACCGATCGCCCTTTTTGTCTGTCTGCCAGTCTTAAAGCTTCAGGACGAACAGCAATATTTTCGGCTTCATAAATTGTTTTTGGCCCTACTTCTCTCAACCTTAGACGAATGTCAGTTTCAGTTATAGCATCAATAAAATAATCAAGCGCCAGTGTATCTCTGACAAT